GCCTGGTAGCATTAGTTCCTTTTGTCTTGTGGTGTATTTGATCAATTTTGGATGTACTTTTTGGATATATTCTTTTTCCGGAAAACGGTTTTGCAAATGTAGAAAGTATGGCTAGACCAATAGGAAAGCTTTTAAACTGAGTTAAGACAAAATGTTTTCAATTATTAGGGACATTGAATTGCTGGAATGGTTTGTTTTGTTGCTCATGGTGTATGAATTCAGCTGAACTTCTTCTTAACGTATCCCTTCTCCTGTAAACATTATTCTAAGCACGTCCGCCCCAGCTGAGCTTCAGGGAGAATATGAATAATATATTATACCTGAAAAATGTTAAAAAGTAGCAGAGGTTATACTTGTGATTTCTTTCCCTAGCCCTATAACCCTCGGACGTACAAGCTGTCGTGAAGACATCATTTGATCCGCTGTCTTGGATCCGCCATCTTAGATCAGCCATCTTGAATTTCACTATTTTCTTAAAATGTCAAGAGATAACGGAAATCAGTACTTAAAAATCAAGCCAAAATGCTTTTTGAATGTAGAAATTTAAGAATTTCTGCATTTGATGAAGAGAACTGGAAAAAAAATAGACAATTATGTCCAGAAAGTTGATTTTTGATCGGACCTACGTGAAGTATGCAGTTACCGTGGCAACATCAAAAATCGTAGACACACTAATGACATATCACAATTTTCATTCAAGGATGAATGAACAGCTACTGAAAGTTTCATCATCTTAGAGTAAATCTTCTTTTCACAACTTGGAAAAAACCTTATGGGGGTGGGGGGACATCCACCCCTGCCTCCCTTGTAGTCCAAGGGCTAAAAGAGCAAAACGACAAGATTTTCTCTTTTCTTTCGTCCATTCTCAACTTTTATATTAAAGAGTATGTGTATTTTCTCAACGGCCTTCCAAATATAAGGTGGAGCCTTCACTGTTCAAGGGAAAAAAGGGCTCTATGTCTAAAATACTGCATTGATTGTTCAACAAGTTGCAATTTATCTCTGTATAACTTTCCTGACTGACTGCTCTACATTGAGGACAGTTTCCAAGGTCGAGATACACTCATGCAGTACGTTAGACATATAGCCCTTGTTTTTCTTTGTCCAGCTGAAGCTTCATCTTATAATTGGAAGAACGCTGAGAAAGCACAAATATTTAATTGAGGTTAATAACGGAAAGAAAGAAAATCTCGTCATTTTGTTCTTTTAGCCCTTGGACGTACAAGGGGAGGGAGTTTCTGGATGCCAACCCCCCCACCCCAATAAGGCTTGTTCCAAGTTGTAAAAAGTCCTTCGCGGACATTTTCATCTGTCATTTGTGTCTATGATTTATGAAGTTGCCATGGTAACCTCAAACATGATGTAGGACTGCCCAAAAATCTTCTTTTTTTTTGACATAATTCTCAATTTTTTTCAGTTCTCTTCATTAAATTGTAGAAATTCTTGAATGTCTACATTTTATAAGCATTTTGGCTAAATTTTTAATTGCTGATTTCCGTTATTTCTGGACTTTTTAAGAAATTAGTGAAATTTAAGATGGCGGACCCAATTAACATGGCGGATCCAAGACTGCGGATCAAATGTCGTATTCACGACAGCTTGTACGTGCGAGGGCTAGAGGATTAGGGAAAGAAATCTCAAGTATAACTCCTGCTATTATCGAAAATTTACAGGGATACTACATTATTCATACTCTCCCTGAAGCTCGGCTGGGGCGGACGTGCTTAGAATAGTGTTTACATGAGAAGGGATACGTTGAGAAGAAGGTCAGCTGAATTCATACGCCATTAGCAACAAAACAAACCCATTCCAAAAAATTAATATCCCTGATAATTAGAACATTTTCTCTTAACTCATTATAAAAGCTTTCGTATTGGTCTAAGGATATTTTCTGCATTTGCAAAAAACGTTGTCCTGAATAAAAATCTATTTATCCAATTAGTACATCCAAAAGGAATTGATAAAATACCTACCCCACAACACAAACGGAATGAACTAGCTGCCAGTTCGGACTTTGAAAAACCCTTTGTCTTTGATTTCTATTTGTTTCTTCATGAATTGAAAATTGTATAACGGAATGAAGAACACAATCTTTATCTCACGTCTGGGTATCTATAGATAAAAATTAAACTAAAACGGGGGGAAATTTACCAGAACTTCGGGTCGTGTAAGTTAGAAGAAAAGCCCAACCTGAATAACGTTAAGCAAGCGATCTTCCATGGCTTTGAACAATTTGGTCAGTGTAGATTCAGGTTTATAAACACACTTT